AAACAAATATGAATTAGAAAATACAAGGGCTAGCACTGAGGCATAGCAAGCTAAACCTCCACCTGTCATGCCAGCATCCCCTAGGGACATGGTTCAAGACCCAGCTGCTCTGCTTCCAATCCAGCTCCCTGCAAATGCACTTGGGAAAGCAGAAGGTGGCCCACGTGTTTGGACCCTGCACACACATGGGAAACCTGGATGAAATTTTTTACTTTGGCTTGGCCCTGCCCCAATTGTGGCAGCCATTTGGGGAGCAAACCAGTGGGTGGAAGACCTCTCTCTCTTTAACTTTATATTTCAAAGAAATAAAAGAAATCTTTTTTTTAAAAAAAAAAAAAAAAAGTCAGACAAGGGTCCAGCGCAGTAGCCTAGTGGCTAAAGTTCTCCCATATGGGCACCGGATCTAATCCCAGCAGTTCCTGCTTCCCATCCAGCTCCCTGCTTGTCGTCTGGGAAAGCAGAGGAGGATGGCCCAAAGCCTTTGGACCCTACACATATGTGGGAGACCCAGAAGAGCCCTGGGCTCCTGGCTTCAAATCGGCGCAGCTCTTGACACTGTGGTCACTTGGGGAGTTTCTCAATGGACAGAAGCTCTTCCTCTCTGTCTCTCTTCCTCTCTGTATATTTGGCTTCCTAATAAAAAAAAATTTTTAATCTTTAAAAAAAAAGCCAGACAAATAAAGTTAGAAAATATGTACATAAAAAGTAAGCAAGACATCTCAAAAAGATGAATAAAACTGACAAATATTTACCCTGATATCAAACAAAACCAAAAGTTGGTTTATCAGAAAGATCAATAACAGTGGCAAGTATTTAACCAGACTTACTTTGACACCAAAACCACATAGGCATCATAAGGAGAACAAAAAAACTATAGACCAATATCCATAAATATGGGTACAAAAATTTCAACAGAATATTGACAGTTAAATCCAGCAAAACATTTAAACGAACTATATACCGCAATCAAGTAACTTATCACAGGATTTCAAGATTAGTTCAACACACAAAAATCCATCCATGTAACACTGTAGTTAACAGCATAAAGGACAGGAAACACTTCATTGTTTCAACGGACAAAGAAAAAAGCATTTGACAAAATTCATCAAACCGGGAATAGAAGCAAACGTGACCATGTGCATCTGTGTTAATCCTGCAGCTAACAGCATCCTTAACAAAGATGACCACATTCCCCTAGAATCAGTGCCAAGACACGAGACCCTTACCACGTCTGCGCAACATTGTACTAGAGTCCAAGCTAGACAAGTCAGACAGGAAAGATACAAAATGCATCCAGACTGAAAATGAAGAAGTAGAATTCTCCCTACCCCTAGCATGATCTTACCGCTGGAAGATCCTAAGGGTTTTACACACACACACACACACACACACACACACACACACACACACACACTTTGTTAGACCCAGTGAATTCAGCTGGAATGCAAGGACAACAATCCATTGCATTTGCATACACTAGCAATGAGCAACCTGAAAGTTGAATTCAGAAAACAATACTACGTGTAATACCATCAAACAGAATTTAGAAAGAAATTAATTCAACAAAAGAGGTGCCTTTATGCTGAAAAATCACAAAGTACTGAAAGGAAGCAAAGAAAAAATCTAAATAAACCAAAGTGCAATTCATGCTCACGGCCTGGAAGGCTTCTCGGCGTCAGGACATTCGTGCTCCCTAAATCACTCTGCAGGTGCAATGCGACCCTATCGGCATCCCAGCTGACTCCATCACAGAAAATGACAATTTGGACTTGAAATTCATATGCAAGAACTCCAATTAGCCAAAACATTTTTTTTAGAAAATAAAGTTTGAGCAGATACATATCCCATTTTAAAAAAAAAAGATTTATTTATTTTTATTGGAAAGGCAGATCAGATTTACAGAGACTAGGAGGGACAGAGAAAATGGCCAATTTTCAAATTTTACTATCAAGATTTCCTGATACTGGCATAGGACAGATAAACGGATTAAAGGAGAACAATAGGGTCTGGAAGTAAAACATTGCATTTAGCATCACTTCATTTCCAACAAGGATTGCCAAGACAGTTCAACAGAGGGGAAATTGTCTTTTCAACAAATGATCCTAGAAAAATGAGATATTTGCCCCCAAAGGATGGAGTCAGACTCCTATCTCACACCTTACATAAAAATTAGCCCAGAATGAATTACAATTAGATGTAAGAGCTAAAATCATAATTTTTTAGAGGTGGGGCCTCATTAGAGGCCAACTCTTCTTTTTATTAGAAAGGTAGATTTACAGAGGAAGTATTCAGAGAAAGATCTGTCCACTGGTTTGCTCCCCAAGTGGCCAAAATGGCTGGAGCTGAGCTGATCCAAAGTCAAAGGCCAGGAGCTTCTTCCAGGTCTCCCACATGGGTGCAGAGTCCCAAGGCTTTGGGCCGTCCTCAACTTCTTTCCCAGGCCATAGGCAGGGAGCTGGATGGGAAGTGGTGCAGCCAGGATAAAAACCAGTGCCAATGTGGGATCCTGGCAGATGCAAGGTGAGGATTTAGCCACTAGGCTATCATGCCGGGTCCTAAAACTTTAAAATCCTTAAAAGAAAGTATAGGTGTAGCTCTTTATGCACTTGATATTCATTGATGATAATTTCTCCAGCAGGATACTAAGAACATAAGTGACAAAAGAAGAAAAACTGGACCTCAAAAGAGAAAAAACATGCTTCAAAGACATCATCAAGAAAGTGAAAAAGACAACCCACAGAGTGGGAGAAACTTTACAAAATATGTGTCTGACACAGGACGTGTAGACTCTTAAAACTCAACAATAAAAATAGAAATTTTTTTTCTATGGGAAAAGAATTCAAATAGACATTTTTCCAGAGAAAATCTTCAAGTGATCAGTAAGTGCATGAAAAGATATTCAACATTAGTAGGAGCAGAAAGATGCAAATGAAAACCACTCGAGATAACGTCATATCTTTTGAGTTGGCTAGAATCAAAAAGACATCCCATAATGAGGGGTTTGGGGGATGTGGAACCCCCTATGAGTACATTACTGGTGAACACATAAATGGTACAGCCTCTTTGGGAAACAGTGTGACAGTTCCCCAAAATGTCAAGCATAGAGTTATCCTCTGACGCAACAATTCCACTCAGACACTAGTTAACGCAAGAACTTGCAAACAGGCAGAGTCGTGTAACTCGTGCGATGATGGAACCCAGGCTGTGGGTTCCATACACTAAGTATCCATACACTAGTATATACACTGGTATTTGGCCATGAGGAATGAAGAACTGATACATGCTGTGACGTGGACGAACTTTGAAAGCACACTAAGTGAAAGAGGTCAGACACAGAACCCACGTGTTGTGTCATTCCAGCTACGTGAAATGTCCGGAACAGAAAAGCAACAGAGGCAGAAAGTATATGTGTGATGATCAGGGGCTGCAGACTGGGGTGGAAGAGATGATTGGGGGATTTTGGGGGAAGAATGAAAAACAGGTGTCCTAGAATTGACTGTGGGTGATAACGGGACAGGTCTGTGGACACGCAGACACCATTGAAACAAACGTTTTAAAAGGGTGAATTTTATGTTAAGCAAATCATATTTCAATAAAGCTGACATCAAAAAACAAAAAGAGAGAGACATACATCTTGACCTATCTCTGCCCATCCACTTTCAACATCCATCGATGCATCCCATTAGCCAAGCTTTAACCAGAAGCCAGAAGGAACACAGTTTGAAAAACGCACACCCTATGACCTCCGGACTAGACCAGGACACCATGAGCGGTCCCCAAGTGCCTCTGCATGGGAATGCTTCAGTTATTTGCTTTCATCTCTTTGAAAGGCAGAGAGACAGAGTCAGACAAGGAGAGAGCATCCATCCACTGGCTCCCTCCCCGAAACCTTCAACAGATGCGGCTGGGACAGGCTGAAGCCAGAAGTGGAACACAATCCAGATCTCTGCTGTTGAGTGTCAGAGACCCAGTCATGTGAGTCCTCAGCCAAGCCTGTGTACATTCACAGGAAGTCATCCTTGGAAGCAGAGGCTGGGCTCAAACCAAGATGCTTCTCATACAGGCTGCGGGCATCCCAATCAGCAGATGGTGTTCACCCCAGCAGCCGGCAGCCGTATGAAACTACGTCTGTCTGTCTTGTACCAGAGGTAGACCTCGGTCACCCTCACCACAGCTCTCCCACCAGAATAGCAAACCCGAAGCTTCTCTCCTACTTAGACAGACAGTTCCCCCAAGCCCCTGCAGCTTCCTTGAAAGAAACCAAACGCTTGTTCTTAAAGTGACTTCTTCCCAATCACAGCCCGACCTCTAGCACTAGCGCCTGTGTGCGTTAAACCCCATGAATTCCGAGGTCCCTGGACTCCGTGTGTGTGTGTGTGTGTGTGTGCGTGTGTGTGTGTGTGTGTGTGTGTGTGTGTGTGTGTGTGTGCGTGTGTGTACCTGAGCTGTGAAACTGACCTCCCACCTCCCACCCCACGGTTTACAAGGGCTGAACTAAAAAAGACTCTTCAACTTTCACATTGTGGTTGTGTCGTTAAAGCCTCCGCCTGTGACAGGTGACAGGACGGCAGCGGAGGGGTCCTACAAGAGGGAGTGAGGAAGATCCTCTTCCCCCATCCAGGTCTGGCCCTGGTGGCTTTCAGTGAGCTGCTGCTGGAATTTAGGTCCTCACATACTTCTCTCCAAGTCCCTAGCATGTAGCCCTTGGTTGGGAAATGTGACATCTCACAACTACACAGTTACTAGGCCAATAAATAGCCCCTGGTCTAGGCCAGGTGACAGGGGTTTTCTGAATGTAAATGAGCAGCTGACTCAGGGTCCAATGACCGCTGGTGGGCCGTGGGTGGCGCTGTCATCGTGTCACCTGTCTTATACACTTTTGGTCCCAGGAGGGGCCCCTGAGTGACACCGGGAGGGGTGGGATGGGGTGGGAGGGGCAGGGAGGAGGGTGGCTCCTCTCACAACTTAAAAGGGGCTGCTACCACTTCCTCCTCAGACAGGGCTCGCGCGAGGCCCGGGCACAGCTTTCCTGTGTGGTTTCAGCTGCCAGAGAGTCATGGACTTGGGTGAGTGAGCCTTCGGCGTGCCAAGCAGCAACCCTGCGGCCTGGGGCCCCAGTTGACCCTACAGAATGAGGGCAGGCCGGGGAAAGCACGGAGGGTCCCCCTCCCCAGAGAAATCGGTCTGGGTTTGGTGGGATGCCACCCTGTTATCCTAGAAAGGGTGCCGCCTACCCTTGGTGGCCTGGGAGAGGGGGCCACCCCTGGTGGCAGGAAGGGCACAGGGGTGGTGGGACGAGGAGGCAGAGGCTGTAGCAGGTATCTCTCTAAGACAGCTGCTGATCAGGGCTGTGCACTCTGGTCACAGCCCTGCTAGCTGAGGTGAGGCATTTGGTCCTCTGGGGATCTGTGAGGACCAGTTTCATCTGGGGGAAATCTTTCGCCGAGTCCCACCTTTCTTCTTGGGGGTGACAAGGAGGAGTGAATTGAAGGGGTCACACTCCTGCAAACAGCACACAACAGGATGCAAATGCAGGTTGGGGTTGTTCTCTCTGCTGCCGGGGCCACCACCCACTCCCTGCGTGCTTGGCTGCCACCTCTGTCGAGGTATAGGGTGGGTAGGTGCAAGCAATGAGCTGTGGAGAGGCAGTGAGTGTCCCAGCCAGACCTCCAAGCACAGCTCCCTGCTCCGGAGCAAGCCTTCATAAAGCCAGGACTGCCTTCCCCGCTCCCCTCCCGCCCCGGGTTCTCCAGCCTTGCTCTGGACTTCAGGGGTCCCTGGGAGGCACCGACAGGACTTCTGAGAGGCTCTTCCTGCCCCAAATACCCCCTTTGCAAATCTCGGCGGCCCAGTCAAAGCCAGCTGAGGCCAAGGAGGTTGAGGCCACGGAGGCGGGTTCTTAGATGGCTCCCCCTCGTAAGCCAGCAAAGCCCGCCTGCGGCGGCCTCAAAGCCACAGGGGTTGGCTTTAAAAAGTGAAGGTTCCCCGGGGCTGTCCTCACACTCTTCCCCACCACACCACAGCCTCCTGCCTTCACCGCCCCTGCCCAGCAGGTCGCCCTGAACCCTGAACCAAGTCCCCCCCCCCATACAGCTGGTGAGACGTTCAAGTGGCCACTCCACTGGGGAATTCCTGGAAGATGGGCCTCATCATTTTACTTTGAAAAGGAGACAAAGAGAAAGAGAGAGAGAAAGTGCATGCATTGGTTCACTCCCTGTTAGAGACCAAGGCCAGGATTTCCACCCAGGTCTCCCAGGTGGGTAGCAGGGACATAACTCGCCTGCTGCCCGCAAGGCATACACTAGCAGGAAGCTAGAATCTGAGGCAGAGCGGAGACTCAAACCCAGACACTCTGACATGGCATGCAGGTGTCTGGAGCCAAAACTTTAACTGCCTCCTTAACTGCATCTTAACGTCCGCCCCTAGGGTCTAGTCTGGTCCTTAGAAGTCTGCATCCCCCAGTCCTTTGGGAGATGGGAGTAGAACATGTTATGGATGAAGGACTCAGTGAATGAATGGTGTTAAAAACTCTGGGTCGATTCTGGCTGTCCAAGAGTCTCTTCCAAGGTCTGCTGCCAGCCAGCCAGCTCTCTAAGCCCACTCCCTAGCCATCCGTCCATGGACCACACCCGCAGGTGCAGCTGCCACTCACTAGAAACGCTGCCCTACGGCCCTGATGTGCTTGCTGCTGAGTCTTAGACTTTCGACTTGCCAACAAGCAAACTCTCCCCCTCAAGCTTATTCCAAACCACCCCTGGCTCAAGGAAGCCAGACACCCCAGACCTAGCTCCAAGACACGCCAGAACTGTATGTCTCCTCCCCTCACCCCAGACCAGACTTGGGGGTGCCCACAGCCTCCTGAGCTTCACTGCAAGCAATCTTGGGGTGATGGGGCGGGGGGGAAGGAGGCTAGGTCCTGCTTCTGCATCAACTTGAGACAGATCCCCAACGGCCAAATCTGAGATCGCAGGGTCAAGGGGAAGCCGCGGAAAGGTTTTGCTCAAAACGGGCCCAGGCCGTTGGCGGGCGTGCCACGAGGGTCTGTTTTTCACCCCTGTCTGCCCTGCAAGCAGCGAGAGGCGGGTGAGAAGGCAGGGTTTCCATGACACAAAATGAAAACCCCGGATCAGGGCTGAGCTGGCCTCTTTCACTCTCTGAATGAACGGCCCCAGGCGCCCTCCCCACCTTCGAGAAATGGGGTCAGGGGTCTTGGACAGATTTCTTCAGAGCAAAGCCCAGGCCAACGGCCGTACGCTGGCTTTGTGACTCCAGCTTGGCCACAAAGAGGGGGCTGGGGAGTATGGTGGGAGGAACAGGTGCTGGCAGAACACAGGGCCTGAGGAGTGCTGTGACCCTGGGCAGCTATGGGGCACTTCTCTCCCTCCTCCTGGCACTTCTGCCATCCGCCAGCAGTGATGAAGAGAGACTGGGTCCACCTCAGGAAGAGAGAGGGGGGCACACCTGAGATTAAGCCACCATGACAGAGTGAGACATGGCATAGATGTGGGCCAGCGTGGAGCATGGAAGTTGGGTTTTGAAGGGCGTGCAGGAGTTGTCCACTAAACAAGGAGGTGTCGGAAGCCCAGGATATAGCAGAGGTGGATCAGCCGAGTGGCTCAGCCAGCCGGGAAGGCGGAAATAAGAACCACCAGGAGTCATTTGTGAGAGGTTCCGAGGAGACGGATTAGGAGCAAGGTGGCCACTGCTGGCTGGCCAGGACCACCCAGAAACGACAGCCCTGGTTCTGCTTTGGTGAGCCAGAGATGACATCACACACGTGTAGGCAGTCTGGCGCGAGGCAACAGCAATTAGGAACTCTGCTTCAGGTTTAAGCAGCTGACAGCACAGGGAGGATCAGAGGTGACCAGGACCCCCATCCCGGCCTGTTATCTGGAGCCACCCCACCACCACATCTCCCATATCCCTTGAGATCCTCAACCTTTCACCCGCCTCCACTTCCCTGCCCTCAACTGTGTTGGCACATGAGAGAGTGAAGAGAAGAAATGGCATGGGGCAGCAGGGTTGGGGAGGAGCTGGGCAACAAGCTTCCCCTTCCAGATGATTCTTGCACCTGGGGTCCTGGGGAATTTTTTCTTCATGATAATCTTTCCCAGAAATTCAAGGGCTCAGAAAAGCACCCAGCATCACAGTCAGCTGGTACTTAACCCCTGAGCTTCCCGGGCTGGTTGCTGGATGACTTTGTAACACACAGGAATGATCTGACTCACAGCCACTGACCAACCAGGTCCCCTTCAGCCACACAGCAGAATTTCCCCCAAGTTCCCATGACGTGCCTTGGAAAGGACCCCTTTCGGTCCTACGGAATGGCCGCACCGCCACCCTCCCCACACACCTGGGCAGAGAAATCGCCTGACAGCCCCACAGCAGTCCCGAGACAAGACAGGGACCTGAAGGCAGGAGGGCTGGACCAGGTCAATGTGTTTCGCTGTGACTGCTGGGGTTTCTCCTTCTCACCGAGAGTCAAAGTGGGCTTTCTCTAGAGTAACTGAAAGATTGTTCCGTGCTTCGAGAAACCTCAGGCCCTCGACGTCAGGATGAGTCAGAGCTGTGGCAGGCAGAGCACTGGACCCTGAAGACAGGGTGGGGGAGCACAGCCCAGCAGGCTCCACGCAGGAAAAGGGGCCCAGGCGGGGCCATCCCCACCAGGACCACAAAAACCCAGGCACAAGCTAGGGGGGAAAGGCTGAGCCCAGTAACAGAAGTACGGCCAAGGAGGCTAGCTGGAGGCCCTGCTCAGCCGTTAGGGTCTGCACTCCAGGGCTTGGGAGAGTTTTCAGAGAGAGCTTAGGAGGAAGGCTCGGGAGGGCTGGCAAAGTAGGCAATACCTTAAAAACGCACATCTTTCAGTAGCTGCAACCTGGGTGACATGCAGAGAAATGTCCAGCAGGTGGTGCTGTAGCCAAGGACACAGAAGCACGGGCGTTCACACAGCTTCCCCAGCCCCTAAAAGATGCCCCAGCAGGGTCCCACGCATTTCCTGTCCCTACACAGAACGGTGCTAGAGAGCAGAAAGACCTACAAGTCTTGCCTTGGTGATCACTGGTAGCTTCATAGTGATGGACCCTCTTTGTGGGCCAGACCCAGGAGAAGAACAGAGGATGGGGCAGAAGGAGCAGGTGGTGGAGGAGGGAATCTGAGGAAGCTACCGTGCTGCATCAGGCCCTCTGCCAACTGTATCCTCCGCTCAGCCTCCGGAGCAGATGGTCTCAGGGTGGCCCAAAGCTCAGCCACAGAGCAGGACTGAGCAGTCGTTGAAACCTGGTGCTAGCCTGGGGTTTCCACCTGGACCCAACAAGTGCCCACCTCCCGGCCCCAACCTCCAGAACATGTCCTTTCCCAACACAGTCCCTGCTTCCCCAAGGCCCTGGTTTAGAAAGTAGGTTCAAGTTCTGCAAAGGAGAGCAAAGCGCCAGCCTGGGAGTGGGAATACCAGCTGTTCTCTACCTGCCCCAGGACAGGCTCTCAGGGTTGCCATCTCTGCTCCTGGATCTATGCAGTAGTGCACACACAAACCCCAGGCTGCTGCTCCATTCTGTAGATGAAGGGGAAGTCAGCCCTTGCACCCCACCTGCCACAGGCAGGCTAAGAGGATGGATGCAGGGATGCCAGGTGAACGTGGGTGCTGGGCCCAAGAGGTCCCAAAGCATCCTGAAAGGCCAGTAAGTTCGCTCACTCTTCCACCTAGCCCAGAGACATCACACACTCCTCCCTCGGGCCCTTTTGGGAGACTCGGGGCTTCAGCGCTGGAGGAAAGTCCACACACACACATACACACACACACACACACACACTCAAAGAAGCTTGTAAGCCCACGCTCACCCCATTCTTCCTCCCTACACCCCTGCAGCAGCACACGGTTCAAGAGGGGTCAGAGTGTCCGGGATTGGACGGGGCTAGAGTGGACCGACCCAGCCTCGGGTGGGGGCCGATCTAGGTTCCTTTGGGAACCCGAGGGTAGAGGAGAAAGAGGAGGTGAGGACGCAGATGGGAGCCGGGCAGCGGGCCAGGCACGACCTGGCTGTGATGTTCTCTGTGCGGCACCTCCCGCGCCTGCGTGGGAGCTCTGGCGTGGGACGGCGCCGCCCCCAGCCTCCCCGCTGCTTTCCTGGAGGGCAAGGACTGCCAAGCACTGACGGCCTCGCTTTGTTCCCCCACAGGGAGGCCGATGAGAAGCCTGCTGGTGGTGGCACTCCTCGTGGTTTTCCAGGTGAGGATTCCTGCCGGCAATCCCCCACCTCCACCGTCACTACCCAAACTATAAGATCTGGGACAGGAGTTTGGCCGGTGGGGGCGCATCTGCAGGAGAAAGGTAGAAGCCTGGACACGTTCCCACCTGCCACTCAGGACCCCACGACCACCCTCCAGCCAGGCGGGGACCCTGGAGGAGCACACCGTGTTCCATGGATGTCATTGTCTCCATTGTGGGGCAGGGGAAATAGCTCCCCACCATCCCTCCCAGCCCCCCGCCACCCCTCCCAGCCCCCCGCCCAAGTCAGAACCATAACGGAGCCCACCTGAGTCCCCTGAAAACTCCAGGAGGCTGGGCAGTGACCCATATGTGCGTGCCTGTGCACACACATATGCCCAGCCACATGTGTGTGAGCTGAACAGAGCTGACGTGGCTCCCATCCTATGGCCCCCAGGAGTCCTCCTCACACACTTTGGCCAAAACCTCTCCTGGCAGCCTTTGCGAGGCAGAGGCCCCAGCCAGCCTCACCACGGAGCCAGGAAAAGATGGGAGTGGGGGAGGACCTACATTGTATAGGGGCTAAGATCCCAGCTCACCAAGTTCAGGTTACAACCCACAAGTGGGGACAAGAGGGTGGTCCCCCAACCAGTGCCTGGGTTAGAAGAAACTGTACCTTCCCTGGATGGTGGGGGTCGATGCGGGCAGCTCAGGCCGAGGCCTGGAGGCCGGGGGGGGGGGCGGCGGGATGGCCACGGGGCAATCTGGCTCTTGCCCAGACCTAGAGGCCCCAGGGTGGGTGGGGGCAGCTTTCCAGGAGCTCCAGCCAGAGGCAGGCCCCACACTGGGCACTGGTCCCAAATCCTGGCCTGGAGGCCCCCAGAGCTTGGGCTGCAGGCCATAGCCTGGCCCCTCCATTCCCCACCCACCCTTCCTACCTCCCTCCAGACCCGGAGGAGCTGGGGCCTGGGCTGGAACTGTTGCTGACGTGGAGGCTAGATGGTTGGGGTGGGGAGGGGGCCAGCTGTGGCTTATTCTCCTCTTTCACTTATTGGGGAAGGCAGAGGGCAGGATGTGGTGGGGCTGTGGGCTACAGATGCTTTGAGGCAGGAGAGGGTAGATTTGGAGTGGGGTGGGAGGAGGACGGGGTGAAGGGGAGTATCCTTCCCAGGGGCTGGGGGCACTGCCCCTCAGAGGCCCCTCTGCCCAGCCACCCCACCCCACAGGCTCTTCCAGCTCCCAGGCTGCAGGCAAGCTCTGAGCCCAAAAGGGGTTGCAAGTCATTTTGTCCTCATCCTGTCGCTAAGCAGGACAACTCTGGCTCCAGCTCTTAGACCTAGGAGTCCAGTTCCCAAGAACTGGAAGAGAGGGAGGACTTCTTGAGGGGTCTCGCTCGCAGCCCTGCACACAAGCAGAGGCCCCAGTGGGCCGCTGGGACCCCCCGACACACACACACACACACTTTTTCATTGATAAAAATCACAGACGGCTGCTGAGCCCAGCCCCCGCAGATAGGCTGAAAAAAGCCCCAGTAGCTGAGCCCTGCTGCTGATTGGGATCTGCCGGAAGAGACTGCAAGGCAGACAGCCCCAGAGGGTGAGAGCGCAGAGAGTGGGAGAAGAAAGCCCACTTCCTCCTGGGGGCGCCCCGCCATGCGCCCCCTTGGCCAGGATTCCAGGCAGACCAGCAGCCCAGACAGAGGTCTGGAGTCTCTAACCACCCACAACCACAGTGCTACGGCCCACTCTGCCACCAAGGGCTGCAGGGCATCTTAGCAGCTTGCACTGTTTCATTAGTCCCCCCACCCCAGAGTTCCCCCACATTTCCTGTGCCTGCAGAGACCACCTGCCTTGGTGTTGTTGGTGATGGGCCCTGCTGAGGACTGGGCTGTGGCTGGGAGCTGGGGGTCTGAGAGGGGATAGAGGTCGAAGCAGGGCCTCTCTTCTTTTTGCTCTTTATTCCCAGGGTGGATTTTCCTCAAGAGCTCAGCTACTTGTAGACTCCCTCGCGGGCCCTTTCCCTAATACTCAAAGGGAGACACTGTAAGGAAAACAAGTTTCTGCTCCCAGGGGTTTCCAGAAGGCAGAATCAGGTCCCCAGAAAGCCAGCACAGGGCAAACCCTAGGCTGGGTCCCTTCCACCCCAGGGGTCAATCCCCACGAGGCTGAGTCCCTTGTGGTCAGGTTCGGGCAAAGTCCGATGCTAGTAGCATCTCCCGAGACATGCTGGGACACTCAGAGGCAGTGATTTCCAAGCAAGGGATCCCTGACAAGCTTAGGGAAAGGTACAGATTCCTGGGGCTCCGCCCCCTGAGATTCTGGCACAGCAGGTGTCCAAGGGGGTGTGGCCGTTTGTCTCCCACCCAGGCTCCAAGGTGAGGCTGATGAGGTTGGTGGTAGGGTCCTCCAGCCCAGGGCATTCAGCTGGGTCCCAGTCTGCGTGGCACCTGCCCAGGCAGCCGGTCTCCTTCCCCACAGGTGTGCTTGTGTCAGGATGAGGTGACAGATGATTACCTCGGCGACAATACCACAGTGGACTACTCGCTCTTCGAGTACGTGTGCTTCAAGAAGGATGTGCGGAACTTCAAGGCCTGGTTCCTGCCCATCATGTACTCGGTCATCTGCTTCGTGGGGCTGCTGGGCAACGGGCTGGTGGTACTGACCTACATCTACTTCAAGAGGCTGAAGACCATGACCGACACCTACCTGCTCAACCTGGCCGCAGCTGACATCCTCTTCCTCCTGACGCTTCCCTTCTGGGCTTACAGTGCAGCCAAGTCCTGGGCCTTCGGGATCCACGTCTGCAAATTCATCTTTGGCATCTACAAGGTGAGCTTCTTCAGCGGCATGCTCCTGCTCCTTTGTATCAGCATCGACCGCTACGTGGCCATCGTGCAGGCCGTCTCGGCCCACCGCCACCGGGCCCGCGTGCTGCTCATCAGCAAGCTCTCCTGCGTGGCCATCTGGCTGCTGGCCATGGTGCTGGCCACCCCGGAGCTGCTCTACAGCGGCCTCCAGAGGAGCAACAGCGACCAGACCTTGCGGTGCTCGCTCATCACCCAGCACGTGGAAGCCTTAATCGTCATCCAGATAGCCCAGATGGTGATTGGCTTCCTGGTCCCCCTGCTGGTCATGAGCTCCTGCTACCTGGTCATCATCCACACCTTGCTCCAGGCGCGAAACTTTGAACGCAACAAGGCCATCAAGGTGATCATCGCCGTGGTCGTGGTCTTCCTGGTCTTCCAGCTGCCTTACAACGGGGTGGTCCTGGCCCAGACCGTGGCCAACTTCAACACCACCAGCAGCAACTGCGAGCTCAGCAAGCAGCTCAACATCGCCTACGATGTCACCTACAGCCTGGCCTGCTTCCGCTGCTGCATCAATCCTTTCCTGTATGCCTTTATCGGTGTCAAGTTCCGCAATGACCTCTTCAAGCTCTTCAAAGACATGGGCTGTCTCAGCCAGGAGCAGCTGCGGCAGTGGTCATCCTGCCGGCACACCCGGCGGGGCTCCATGAGTGTGGAGGCCGAGACCACCACCACCTTCTCCCCATAGGCAGCTCCTTTGCCTGGACCAGAGATTCCCCTCCTGGGGACCCCTGAAATGGCGACCCCTAGGAAGAAGATGCAAGGACTCAACCAAAAGCTGCTGCAGGGCAAAGCAGTTCTGGCCACTGCTGTGGACCTCAGAGCAGACACCTGTGCCCCAAAAGACAGCTTACTCCCAACCCTAGCTACCTCAACCAAGGTTGCAAAGAGATGTGGCTGCTTAAGGCCGGAACCAGCAACACTCCGAAAGCCAAGGTTGTGGTCTCCCAAACCAGAAGCCAGAGGTGAATGCCAATTGGCCACCCACACGACTGCTGGAAGGCAGGGGACAGTACATGCTCTGGCGGTGGACATGGACTGGTGAATTCTCCGAATGACCTAGAAGGAAGTCATCCCATACATACCAGGGCCATGGTCAGATCTCCCTGATCTCTAAGGCCAAGACGCTAGGGAGACCTCCCGGCTTGGTGAGGACAGAAGGGCATGAGCTGGTTAAGTGACCTCTCTCAGAATCCCTCTCCCCATCTCTCCCGTCCCTCTGTTGTCCATGCCAGTGGGGACCGTATTTTCCAAACTGTCCTAAGAGCATAGCCAGCCCTAGGGCCACCTCCTCAATGGCTCTCCACAGAGGACGGGTGGCGTCTCCTGCGGGTCAGGCCATGACGCTCCTACCCAAGGCTCCCGAGACAAGACTTGGCCCTGCTGGGACAGTGGAGGGTGACGGCCAGCTGCTAAAGGCCACAAACCATCCTCTTTGTTCTTTGTCACCGGAACAGAAAATCTTTCCCTGTGTTCTGCTTTCAATTCATTAGGAGAGCACATCTTACTCACACACGAATAAAAAATGTTCCCTTGAGGAAAACAACGACTTTAAATGAAAGGATGATGGGGGGGGGGCGGGGAATGGCTAATGTTTGGTAAATGGCAAGCGAGTGCCGTTGTTCTTGTTTTTGCAGTCGCCCACGCCCTGCCTGATGGCTCACAGAGTTCCCTGCTCTTTGTCCCCACATCTCAGGTACACAGGAACACGAGGCCACTGAACTATACTCTGAGCCTGTGTAGAGACCAAAAGAGGTGGAGGGAGTAGAGGCAGAGATTCCATTGCACTAAAAAAAAAAAGAAAAAAGAAAACAAAGAAGAAGAAGAAGAAATTTAAAGAGTGACAGAGAGAGAGAGAGAGAGAAAGCAAGAAGGGTCTTTCATCCACTAAGTCTCCCACCCCCACACCCAGAGGAGCCACAGCAGCCAGGACTAGACCAGGCCAAAGCCAGGAATCAGAAGATTCATCCAAGTGTCCCATGTGGGTGCAGGGGACAAAAGACTTGAGCCATCCTCCACTGCTTTCCCAGGCCATTTGCAGGGAACTGGGTGGAAAGCAGGGCAGCCAGGACACAAACCAGCGCCCATGTAGAACGCCAGCATCGCAGACGGATGCTTTACCTGCTATACCATGACACCAGTCCGTGAGGCTCCACTCCTACTGTCACCTCAGGGGTTTAACTACTAGCAGGTGATTTCTAGAAGGACACACACACTCACCGTGCCGCATGGAGGCGGATCATGGAGGAACCAGCAGAAGAGAAGCAGACACTACTGCCACACACAAGCCAGGGGTTTGTGTTGCTAGTGCTCACTGCCAAGGTTCCCAACTTCTCCCAGCCAGGGTGGGTGGTCGAACCTATGGCAACCTTGCACTCCAGGAGCTCAGACCCCATGGAGGTGCATAGATGGGGGCGACAAGCCATGATTCCATCCATTTCCCAAGCACAAGCACCTCATGGAAAATGGGGCCTGCCTGGTAATGATTCTTTCCCTCTCTCTCTCTCTTTCATCACACGCCCTTAACCCCGCTCTGTGGGATGCAGTGGGCTGGAAGGATTTTAACACAATTTGTCAGCTGGCCTCTAAGCTGGAAATGAGTGCCCTGTGAGCCATGAGCCTGGCACGGGAGCAGTGGGTGGGCAGCAGCATTCACAACGAGGACATTAAATATTGAAAGGTGCAGCTAGCTGCCCTGTGGAAGGGGCCGTGCCCACATGCGGGCATGTGTGTTTGTGTGTGCATGTATGTGTGTTCCTGAGGGGAGCCAGTCCTGGCCCACATGGCTGTACGTGTTCTTAATGAGGCTACGACGAGAAAACAGGCCTGGCTTTGTGCAGGGGAGGAATGTAACTGCGCGGTCCCGGGAAGGCAGCCAGGCCAGCGGTGCAAACACGCCACCCCAGCTTCAAATGCATTTTTCTACAATAACTGGAGACATCTCCAAATATTTACAGAGGCAACAAAACCCTCAGCGAGGTTAATTCTCCAAACTGCTGTGTCCCAGAAGTTCTGATCCCGGCACGTTGCTCCCTGTTCCTTGCCCCAGGCACTGAGCTAAGCATTGGCAGGTCCATCCCGGGCATCTCTCACGCCTGCTTTTCCATTTGCTTCATTCAACCACCCCTCCTGCCCCAGGTGCCAGGGCCCTTTCTTTCCCTTCATTCTATAGCCAGGCTCCCAAATCAGCCTCAACTACAGATCTATCTAGACCCATGAAAACCAAGCCCCCTGGAGATGCCCCCCTCACAACCCTACCCCCCAAAGTGGGCAGATGAAATGAACTTGCTCTGGACATTGCAGGAGGTGGAGGGGTAGGGGTGGGGAAGCCAAGGCCCTGGAGTTCAGCCCACCGGGAATTGTCTATCTGCTGCTTCCCAGCTGTGTGACCTTCAGCGGTTGCTCAACTGCTCTGGGTCTCAGATTTCTCAAGTTGCAAACTGGAATGGATTTGGGTCAACACCCAGCCCAGTGCCTGGAAAGTTGAGTGTAGCCACAGCGCCCGTGTGGATTCCCTTCTCCGGCCTGTGTGGGCTGGCAACTCAGGTTCTCTATGCCTCCATTTCCCAATCTAGGTAATGGGGACACAACCAGTACCTGCATCCTAGGGTAGTGGTGGAGGAAGAAATGAATCCAGCAATGTGAACTGCTTACACAAGTGATGCTGGCCTGGGCGTCATCTTACAGATGCTTAAGCAATGACAGGGAAGACAGCAAACTCAACTCCTTGGCCCCAATCTGCCCCTGACCCCACACCATTTCTAAACCAGAGGGCAATGGTGAGATTAGACAACGGGGCTTTCCCACCAGTGGGGCAGGAGCTCAGCCAAGGTTCAGTACAAGAAAGACCTTGCCCGAGGGCTGGGGAGCTGCTGGCACTGTGGCAGCCTGAGCCTGGCAGTCCGGCTCCCATCCAGAACTCTTTCCCCTCCAACCCCAGACCTGGCTGCACATACCTGGGCATCCCTGTCCTTCACATACCTCCCACTTCCCAGCCTGGTCCAACCCTGGCAGGCACCTGCCTCTCTGGTCCTACAGCCAGATCCTTAAGGGGGAACCCCTTCCCCAGCCCCAAACAGGCCACCTTCTCTGCTCGTCGGCCTCTCAGTGGCCCTCCTGAGTGGAGGGTGACTGGTGAAAGAAGCAGGTTTACGGGGCACAGGGCATGGGGCAGAGGGTGGGACCAAGGCGAGGAGGGAGGGGAGTAATTCTGAGTGAGGAGGGCAGGGACAGGGGAAGAGGCAGAGTAGGTCTAGAGGCCCATGCTGGGGTCGCTTTTGGGCATGTCTTCAGTGGGTAGATAATGCCCCCTGCATATACCCACACACACACATGCACACACAGAGCTTCCCCAGGCTTGCCAGTAAGGAACGAGGCTGAACGGAGGTGCTTCAAAAAGTTCATGGAAAAGTGCAATTATTATAAGATTGAGGAATCAATGTCTGACGGGTTGCAGGTCTCCCAGTAGCCAGTCCCACTGACCCAGAGAGAGACGCAGAGATCTGGCAGGAGCCATCCCAGCTGAGCCAGCTCCAGAGGAGACACAAGAGTGTGTGACCTGCCCAGGACCTCACTTTGCTCCCAGCTGCATCCTGGGACGGCTAGAAGCTGCTGTGTGCCTTGTGCACCAGCCCCAGGGGACCAGCCGGTGACTCCCTGCCTCGTAGCAACCGCCACCCGACTTGGCCTCCAGCTACATCTGCCCTGATCTGCAGCATAGGGTGCAGATCCTGCCATCAGACTCCCTGCATGCATGGGTGGTTTGAGCTGGTTTCTACGTAGAGATCTGACAACGTCCAGTTCGACAGCACCCTCACCCCTGCCCAATGCTCACCACTGGGGGTACTTGCAGGGTTCATAGAAATGCATTCAAGTGGTAGAGAGAAGGGAGAGGGACCACGGTCATGCAAACACCAGGCCACATTCTGCTTCCTAGGCCCAGCCTGCAGGAGCCAGCTCGGCCTCCTGCCTGGGCGTGCATGGGGCATCTTCTCTCACGACTGCCTCCTGAGCACGCTGAGACCTGCAGCAGCATCTCCAGCTGCCTTCCACCCATCTCCACGCACCCTCAGGCCACGGGGGCCGCTGCCTGTGGGTGCGGGTGACAAACTCCCCAAGTACATGTGGAGTTGAGGAGGGAGTCAACAGTGGATACTTGTGCCTTGGGTCCTTCAGGGTCCACAAGCTGAGACCCACCCAGATCCCTTAAATCCTTTGTCCAGAACACATGTTGTGCAAGAAGCGTACCTGCTCTGCCCTCCCCAGCACCTCTCTCGGCCACCCCACCCTCACCACACCTCTCAAAAGTGCCCCCAGCACGGCCACATCCTGGGAGACTATGGAGTGAATGCAAGGGCCTGGGAGTGTCCGGTAAAGACAGGGTTAGGGACAAGGGGTGGCAGGAACCCTAGAGGCCCGGGGGAAGAAGTTGAGGCAGTGAAAGGGACGAGCCTAGGAGGTGGTGAGAGAAGTTGAGATGTCCTGGGTGCCTGTCATGTGCCAAGTTCAGGGCCAGGTGTGTCCCTCCCCCATACACACACCGCTACATTCTTCTGATGACAAAACAGCTCCAGGGGGCTCACAGAAGCTGCCCACCGTAACACAGCTAAGACGCTGCACTGTACCTGACCTTGCTGAGTCCCCACAGAGACCCTGCCAGAGTCCCATTTGACAGATGAGGCTACCGAGCCTCAGGGAGACTAAGTACGTTTGCCAAAGTGGCACAGCTCCCAGTGGTGTCCATCCCCCACCTCTGCAAGCTGGCCTCCCAAGTCCTGTGGCTGCCACGTTCCTACACTATTCAACCAAACAGAGTTGCTCATCCATCAGCAAGTACTTCTGGGACCCCTCTTGGGTTCCAGGCCTGGTGCTTGGGTACAGCCAGCCTCTCTCAAACCCTGCTGGGTGCAGAGCTCTGAGTTGGGGACAAGAGACAAATAGCAGACACAGCCCCATCAGCTGGGACCACGTGACTCCCACGATGGGGCAACAACCAAATCTTGGCTACTCCCCACGGCTGGCTCCTCCCTGGTCCCTGCTTCTCCCTCAGGCTCCCAGCACCCTGGCTCTGCCACAGAGTCCCTGGGCCTGCAGGACCAAGTGCTTCCTGCTCAGACCCTCAGCCCTGCTGTGCCACTGGTTGGGAGTACCCTTCTGGGTAAGCTCTGAGAGCCCAGTTCCAGCAGGGCAGAGCCCTGGGTGCATTGGTGCCTGGAAGGGGTTCAGGGCAGGTAGGTGAGGGGCTGAGGAAACCATGCTACCCCCCAGTTGTGGTTTCTGGCGGAGCCAGTGTGGTAGCAAGTGGAGGAAAGTGTTTGTCAGCCTTCCAACAAAGGCAATCAAACAGAAGTCTCTCAGGCACAGTAAGAACCAAAAAGGCGCCAAAAAGAAAACATACCTTTTCTTTGACAGGCAGCTGCCCTGCCCCGCCAGGGGAGAGGGGGCCTGTCCTCAGGCCTGGGAGCAAAGGGCTCTGATTTCAAGCCCAAGCACCTTTGTGCGCGCACACACACACAGCAACCCAGTGTCAACAGCCCACAAAAGTCAGTGCATTGTGCACACACAAAAAAACACCATTGCAAAATCTCTCTCTCTCTCTCCTCTCTCTCTCCTCTCTCTCTCTCTCTCTCTCACACAGGCACACACACATGCAGGCTAGCAGGGCGTTACCTGCACACAGTTCTCTCTGCCTGAGCTTCCTCCCCTGAAGTACGGAATAAACACGGGCAGGCTGCAGGGCTACAGGGCATGCCGGGGCTGCATTCTCCCAACACCTGACTGCTCAC